GAGCCAGAGGAAGAGAAAAAGACAGATCATGGTAAACCAGGCTACTGTCCAACCATGTGAAAGTCGGAGGGAGGGAGGGAGGGAGGGAGGGAGGACATATGTACGCACACAACCTCTCTGTCTTCCATGGAGGAAAGCAAAAGGCATCAACACAGTCCAAAGACACATCCCAGCTGGGCAAAAGCATGTGGCATGTGTTCAAAAGTGACTGCCATGTTCTCATTATACTAATTCTTGCTGGGGGTGGGGTTGATGCTTACCTTCCTTCAGTGCTGTCTTATTTTCTTCCTTTTTCTTTGTTGCTGATGACCTAACCATTGCAAAACCAGACTGAGTTCCCCCTGCCATACTCGTCTGCTCAATTTCTCCAGATTCTAGAGAAACTCTTTCCATTTTGGACTCCTTCTTATTGCTTTTCAGCATATCTTGCAATGTTCTGTTAAAGAGGCCACCTCCACGGGGCCGATTCAGCTTGACTGGCGGCTTAACGGAAGAATGTTCGCTCCTTGCCAGCAGCTCTGGCTCATCCACAGCATCATAATCATGTCTTCTTGGAGAAGGCTCCTGCTCTTCTTTCCTCTTTTTTCCCTTCCTAAGGATCGGAAGTGACTCACCTGAAGATAGCAATTCTTCATGTTCTGGTTTGCTTACTTTATTAAGTTGACCCAAAGACCCAACAGATGAGTTAGAAAAAGAGGTAAAACTACCAGGGTTTCCAAAGAGACTTATTGGCCTTTTTTTATCATCCTCTGTGATCTTGCTTGGTAAAGGACTACTGAATGAAGGCACTAAAGTATTACTGCTTGCAGGTTTTGAAAAGCTGATGCTTGTATTTACACTTGAACTGCTGCTCTCTTGAGAAATACCAAAGGGGGCTACGCTTCCAGATCCACTAGCACCTGGTAAGGAAAATGTGAATGGAGTTGGCGTTATCTGATTTGGCAGTTTCTCTTGTTCTGAACCAGTGCCAAAGATAGGCTGAAACAAAGCATTCTCGGGGGGTTTGAAGCTGAAATGTGGCCTCCCAAAACTACTGCCAGAAGTTTCTCCAGACGTAGCTCCAAAGCTAGAAGTATTCTGAGAACCCCCTAGATTCGTAGGTGGATTAAAATTGAATCCTTGCTTGCCAGCAATGGAAGAGCTAGTTGGCAGAGAAGTCACAAAGGAAGTCGTTTGTCCAAGGGAAAAAGGCTGGGTAAATCCTGGGGGTTGCCCAAATCCTAAACCTTGCCCTGAAGGTTGCAGTCCTGAAGTTATGGTGAAGTCAGAGTGGGGTGCAAACCCTGGATTCTTTAACAGTCCACCACTGTTCTGCCCAAAGACAGGAAGCTGACTGAACTGGAATGGTGGCTGAACTGGAAATATTCCTGCTGAAGTGCCAGGTGGAGTCTGGAAAACTCCAGGTGGCTGTCCACTAAATGGTGTATTGGGATTCATCTTCACAACCAGCCATCTACGCAATAGATTCTCCCACCTAGAATGTGGTAGCTTTCAACTCCTAACCCATTGTTCTCATAATCTGCAAAACAAAATAAGTAGGACATATTGTAATATCAATACAATTCTTTTAATTAAGAAATTGTTTCAGGAAAATGTAAACATTTCACATATGCTCTAGCAACACGTTAGCCACATCTAGTGCTGAATCATATTATTAAGGACCTATCATAAATACATTTAATCACAATATGACAATATGAGAACCTATTCTATGAATAGCCTTTTCATTAAAACAGCTTTTCTTCATAAGCTCTTGATCAAGAGATCCCACTGAAAATGTCAGTACCAGTTCTCTCATCATCAAGACCAGTTTGAGCATGACATCAATTATAAATAATCAATTATACATATTTAAACACCTTATCCTAAATAATTTGTAGATTTACTGAAGGTCTTGTTTTATTACTAACAGCGAAATATTTCTCACTGCTGCTGCTGCTGTGGATTCCGCGCCAGGAGAAAGCCGGGCAGCAGGCTCCATGCTGGGAGAAAGCTTTATCCCTGCATGAAACGCAGCCCGCTGCTGCGGGCTCGCCAGGAGAAAGCTGCCCAGAAGCAGCAGCAGCGAATGGCAGGCTCAGCTCAGCGCCGGGCGGCTTCCTCCCAGCACGGAGCTGCCCAGCATATTAGGCGACTGGGCTTATAAGACGAACCCCCAAATTGCAGTTGCCAATTTGGGAGTGTCGTCTAATACTCCCAGTCGCCTAATACGCCGGAATCTACGGTAGTCATACAGTAGTCTGAAGCAACAAGGGTGCAAGCCAGCCTTCCCCAATCTGGTGCCCTCCAAACATTTTGGATTAAAGTGCACACCAGGAAACTTGTTGTTTGCTTTATTTATATACTGATGTGTTTTATATTAATGGTGTTTACAATGGTTTCTCCCACCACCTCCAATAATACTGTAATTACTGTGAGCTGCTTTGAGCCTCCAGTTGTTGCTGGAAAAGCGGAATAGAAATATTGAGTCAAATAAAATAAAAAATGGAAGGGCTGATACCATGCTGTTTTTGTTGTAATTATCCACGTTTTTAGCCCACTGCAGTCTTGGATGACAGCCAGAAAAAGATCCCATAGGCAGGTAGACTTTGCATTTGTGGTCAACCTCAGGCATCACTCCTTATCGGTTAGCCTACCCCTTACATAGAGACGAAGGACATTGCTTTCTGACCCTTTATTTGCGTATGTAACAGTAACCTTTGTAACACAGACAGCAGACCCCAATGCATTGGCTACAAAACGAACCAGGAAAAAGGCGTTAGATAAAATAGCTTGTACATTATTTTGGTGATTTGGGGGTTTAATCTGAAATCAAGATAGATTTAATCTTGGTTGTGTCTGTTATCTTCCTTCTCTTTCATCCCGGATGTTGGCTCATATCCTCTGCTTTATCTTATGAATGCTACTGCTACAAGTCTGTCATGGCCTCTGGCCAGTACAATACACTTAGGAACTTATGGGCATGTTTTTTATGCAGTTCCAACTCTATCCTCCCTCCCCTAAATGATTGTGTTGTTTTTGTCCTCCCCCCCCCCATGTTTTTAGCTGCCCTTTTTCCTATGTGTAAGCCGCCTTGGGTCCCTGTCAAGGGGAAAGGCGGGCTGCTGCAAACGAGCACATCCGAATTAGGCCGCCCGCCATAACAGCCCCACCCCCCGCCCCGGCCTCGAACTGTCGCGGGAAGCGGCAGGAAGGGCGCCGGGGGCAGAGCCACTTCTCCTCACCCGCCGGTGCCGCGGAGAGCCGCCTCGGGGCCCCGGAAGCGCCTCTGCCCCGCCGGGCGCCCACGAGCGTCGCGTCACGAGAGAGGCTTCGGCGACGCTCCCAGAACGACGGGCTCCCTCAGGCAGCAGCTTCCGCCTCTTCAGGGCAGGAGGCGGAAGTGACGTTTCGCTCCCGGCGACCGGGCCCCGCCTCCTCGTCTAGACGGGCTCGCGAAGCGGAGGCCGGCCCCGCCTCCCCCTGCCGAAGCGCATGCGCAGTAGGGAACGCTTTCGAGGCGGTGTTGTTATCATCATCATGGATACAACGGAGCGGTGTACGAATTTCATAAAGGAATACAAAAAGTGCAATACCTCTGCAGCGTCTCTCAGGGGCCGTGGAAGCCCGTCCAGCTGCTGGGATTTGCAGGCCGAGCCTATTATTGGCTTGCCTGTTTATTTCGTAGCAAATTAGGCGGCGCTTAATTGCAAGGAAACATCGGGGCGGCTTGCGAAAAGATAAAACAGCAACATCGACGAAAAGAATCACGACCCTCCGTTTAAAATATGGCAAAGTTAAAATAGTGAGCCTGGGTGACATTCACCAGGATGCAGAGTTTGTCGGAAAGAGCAACGCGAAGGCGCCTGCGGGCGGGGCATCTCCAGAGGCAGGGAGTTCCACAGCGCCCGCAAGGCCCCTCGACCTCCGGTAGGCGGGAAGCCGATGGGCTGCTCCTTCCCCCGGGAAGACGGGGGCGCGGGGAGGGGGCCGCCGCCCTCGAAGGCCCCTGAAGGAGCCCTGGGCACCAGGGTCCTGCAGCGAGACCGGCCCAAGTGGCGCTGCTCCTGGAGACCCGCTGGAACTCCCTGCCTCCGGATTGCCGGGCGGCGTGGGAGCAGTCTCCTCGGGGCAGAGGTCCCTCCGGTGCGCTGGGCCGTGCCGGCCGCTCTCCCCCAACCCCGCCTGGCTGGCAGCCCCATCGCTGGTGTCCCTTGGGCGCCTGCCGAAGACCTCCTTGTTTAGGCATGATGAAGCGTTCCATATTTTTATGCTGTATTGTTTTTAACACCTTCCCCAGAGTGGCTGGGGAAACTCAGCCAGATGGGCGGGGTATAAATAAAAAAATATTACTATTATTACTATTATTATTATTATATGATCTAGTCTTTTTCGTTGTGCTTTTACTTTGGCAGGCCGTTAGAAGCACGGCTGGTAAATGTTTCGGTGCTTTTACTGTTTGTTTTGGTAAACCTTTGCTTCGAGGGTTTCCTCTCCCTACAAGCAAGCAGCTCCTAAATTACATGGCATTGGTAATAAACGCATCCAAGCGGGGCAGGGGGCGGGTGTCCTGCTTTAGGGCTACGGGGCCAGTTGCAGGCCGGATGGGCTTCTTGCAAGGGGGGCAATTGGAGGGGTCGCTTCGCCCTGGCACTGTAAATAAGTTTTATTTATGCCCCACCCTTCCCAGCCAAGGCCGGGCTCAGGGCGGCTAACACAATAAAACAATTTATTAAAATACAACATAAAAACAAGATTAAAATACAGTACATGGCATTGGTAATAAACGCGTCCAAGCGGGGCGGGTGTCCTGCTTTAGGGCTACGGGGGGCAGTTGCAGGCCGGGTGGGCTTCTTGCAAGGGCGGCAATCGGAGGGGTCGTTTCGCCCTGGCATCCAAGCGAGCGAGCCTCCGCCCCGAAGGTGTTGCAGGCAGAGCCCCCTGCCAGCCCCGCGCAGCCGGCCAGAGAGGAGGCTTGGCCGAGCAGGGAAGGGTCGGCGGCGCTCTTTCCCTGCGCCTTCTCTATGGCGGAAGCGCCTCCACACAGGAAAGCAGAGTCCCTCGAGCTTCCGGAGGGGGAAGCCGGGGCGAGCCGGAGGTTCCCCTCGACGGGGCGGGGGAAGGTAAGCTGTGTAGCTTTATTGCACCTTCGAGAAAACGGTTCGAAGATGATGATGGTGAATTATATTTATTGTTATATTTCTAATAATAAATACATGTAATAATAAGTTTTATTTATACCCCGCCCTCCCCAGCCAACTCAGAGCTGCTAACACCAGGTATAAAAGCAATTGATTAAAATACAACATAAAAAAAGATTAAAATACAAGATTAAAATGCAGCCTCAATTCAGTAGAAACTCAAATCAAAAACTTTTTGGGGATGAAAGCGTCAAAACTTCACCAAGGCCAACTTTCCAGACTGGTCCTACATTCGTTTAGTGCAATTACTTGCATCCTGCTTTTCAGGATACAAACCTTTCCACAACAACTTACAAGTACAGTGGTACCTCGGGATGCGAACAGGATCAGTTCCAGAGCCCCGTTCACATCCAGAAGCAAACGTAACTAGCAACAGCACATCTGCGCGCGCGTCGGTTTTTGCTGCTTCTGCGCATGCGCATGACGTCATTTTGAGCGTATGCATGAGTGGCGAAACCCGGAAGTAACGCACTCCGTTACTTCCGGGTTGCCACGGAGGGCAACTCGAACGCACTCAACATGAAGCATATTCAACCCAAGGTATGACTGTAACATGAAAACACGTTTAACACACACACACACAACAGAACAATACCAATATATAAAATGGCTCTCTTTTGATTTGTGTCTGTTGTTATAGTTGCTCTCTCCGTGTTATAGGTATTATAGAAGATCTTCCCCATATGGCAGCTGCTGGTGGAAGCGCCTTGGCTGAGGCGGTGCAGCCAGAGCAGCCTTTTGCACGTCCTTTGCTTGTGTCCCTTTCTTGAGATAAAACGGGCACCCACGCAACCGTTATTTTGGCACCAAACAGTTGTCCCCTGCCACCATTTGCCTCGGGAGGGCTGTGCCTTGTTGCAACCATTTATTCTGCAATATTCTGCTCTGACCGATTTAAAGGACAAGTATTGTGCAATGTTTCGATGATGAAAAGCATAATCCTCTGAATTGGAGAAATCGAGAGATATATTGCCGCACCTGGCACCATATCTCTTCTTTCTCGTATCCAAAAATGCAAGAGGGCTTTTACTCTCGCCAGAAGCTTGGCTCTGCCCTCGCCAATCACGGAAGGATCCTTTAAAAATGTCCCATATGCTCAGAGAGTTTGTGCTTGTTCATTGGGGGATATAGGAAGCCCAGAGCACTTGTTCTTTAGATGTCCCTTTTATGAAGAGGCACCTAGTGAGACCATTGATCCCCTGCTGATGAGGCTCGCTGACCTCCTGGAAAAGCAAAAAATTGACCTTTTCCTGTTTGGCAAAGATCATAAGACGAACCGGATGGTCGCCAGATTCTGTGTACAGATCTGTAGGCGCAGACCATCCCACAACCCAAACTAGTTCGTTAATAAAATCCCCAAACTCGGTTCCATGGGTGACTGGGTCATCTCTCTGCGGTAGACTTTTAAGTGTCTATACGCTGATCGCATTTATAAAAATTTAATTTATTGTTGTACATTGTTTTAAATGTTTGCTTTCCTTCTGGGATTGTACCCCCAAGTGTGTTTTGTAAGCTGGTCTACGACCGTAATAAATTATCTATCTATCTAATCCTCTGATCATGTGCAATTGCACAGTTCAAAATATGCTTGCACATTAGAAACAAGATGCACTTGTACACCCAGCTGGTAGGTTTAACTTCCATTGACAATGGAAAGGGAGCTAAATTCTGAAAGACAACTCTAGAAACTCACACTAACACGCATTTAGCAAAACATCCCCAAAACATTGACTGACACTACAAAATCACAACTGTTAGAACACAGTGTTATAAGATTGGGGTGGGGTGGGGTGGGGGATAGTCTGCATGTCATCTTAGATGGGATCCTGCAGGAAAGGAGACTGCTTATTTTTATTTTAGTATTTTATTTTAGAAGTTTTTTGCATAGAATATTAATTGCATTCATCCATAACAATTTCACTATTTTTTTTAGGGGTTCTTCCAACCCCGACTTCCCTCCAACCTTTCCCCAGTTTCAAATATTTAGCTCTTCTCTTTTCTGCAACTAAATATTTTTTATCCAGTCTATTAAATCTCCTTTTTCAATACTTTTTATCAATTATATTACAAGTGCTAATCCAATCCTGACGTTTTTAAATATTTGCAATGCTCCTTCATATATTCTATAAAATTAATCCATTCATTTCTAAAAAAAATTATCTTCTTGATGTCTGATCTTCCCGGTCAATTTCACCATTTCTGCATAGTCCATCCATTTCGATATCCATTCTTCTTTCAATGGGGTTCTTTCTTCCTTCCAACCCTGGGCATATAACATTTTGCCGCTGTTGTCGCGTACATAAAAATGGCCTTTTTTCCTTCCAGAATCTCTTCTCCTATTATACCTAATAAGAAAGCCTCTGGTTTTTTAACAAAAGTTATTTTAAACAATTTTTTTTATCTCATTATAAATCATTTCCCAAAAGGCTTTTGCTGACTTCCAGGTCCACCACATATGATAAAATGTACCCTCATTCTCTTTGCACTTTCAACATACATTAGACATTTTTAAATACATTTTTGCAAATCGGTACATAATTTTCATACAATTTTCTTTTAACGAACAGCAAGCAGTAAATCGTAAATCCACTTTCCGTAACTTTTCTCATGACTCAAATTGTATATTATGACCCACGTCTTTTGTCCAATGTATGATTGCTGATTTTACTTCTTCATCTTTTGTCTCTCATGAGCATGAGACTTTTAATCTTGGGGTTGTGGGTTTGAGCCCCACGTTGGGCAAACAATTCCTGCAATCCAGGGGGTTGGACTACATGACCTTCGTAGTCCCTTCCAACTCTACAGTTCTATGGTTACTTAACCTACTGCAATGATTCTAATCTCTGCCATTTCAGCTGCTGGAACTATCACTATCATGTTGGAAAAGCACTACTTTGCAGAGCATCGTCTTCACTTTTTAAAGATATGAGCCTGCTCATACGTAACCTGCAGAGAGCCATCCCTATCAGGAGAGTGCCACTTCGCAAGAATATAGAACAAATCCGTCGCATTTTGGGTGTGCAGCAGTTTGATCTTGGTGTTATCTGTGTTAATAACAGGCACATACAGCTGCTCAACAGAAACTACAGATGGAAGGATAGCCCTACTGATGTGTTATCTTTTCCTTTTCATGAGGTAAACATTTTGCTTGCGATTCTCCAGTTCAGCAACAGTCTTATGAGGCTTGTCTTGAACAGGAACAAGACAATAGGACATATTACAAAACGTGTCAAGGCTTCAAGTGCATGTGGGTAATCGGGGGCCTTCGATGGACCAATCATACTTGTTTAGACTTGAGGACAACACAGACGCTGCATAGAAATATTTAAATTTGGGGAAGATGAAGGCCTGTGGCTTCTTTAAAACAAATAGCTGCTTCTGTATAAGCAATGCTCATTTGTAAGAATAAAGTGATATATCATTTGTATTACCAGGTCCATTCTTCATCATTCTTTTTAACCACCATTGGAAAGTACTTCCATATAGTACTTTGTTATGCTTATAGCTTTACTTGTCCACAATTCATTCAAATAATCCTACAATGTAAGATACTAATTCTGCTCTACAGCTAAGAAAGCACTGTACTAAATGTTCTGATTTCAATAAACCCAATAGAATAAGTATGTTTAAGAGTGCAGCAATGCAACCATATCACGTGTTGTTCAGCACGATCTGCTCCAAAGTACACTTATTTATTTATGTACATAATTTAATATATTGTCCCTGAATCCATTTGGAACTCTCAGGATAGCTTACAGTGTAAGAACAACAAAGAAAATATAAAGTACATTTGCATACAGTGCTTCAGTCCTAAGTATATTTAATTAGAAGCCACACTAAAATCAGTTTACTTTTGAATAAACATGGTTAGGATCGTGCTGCAAAGCTGATAATTTGGTTCTGAATGTAGATAAAAACAGACCATTCCAGTTTCCTGGCCCAGAGGCAATCACACGACCTCCATTAGTTGCAGGGAGCTTAGAAATCAATATTGTGTTTCAACATATGTCATCTCTGCATTAATACCCATTGTGAACGTTCAAAAAAGTTATGGAACTTTGAAAATATATATCTGTAACTTTTGGATCATAGTTTGGGCCTGTTCCCTTCACAGAATCTGACAGCAGGGGAGCTGCCTCAGCCTTGTGCTCGAGGTGAATACAATTTGGGAGACATTTTTCTTGGAGTAGAACATATCTATCAAGAGTGTGAGGAGAATAAGGAAGATTTCTACAGTATTCTTACAGTAAGTATATGTTTACTAATTCAGTTATCCTGCTACTTGAGTTGGTTTTTATCTTTAGAGTTCTGACAAGTTACCCTAAAACTTGCTTGGTCTTCTCAAGTTACAAAAGAAGCTTCTTTTATTTCCCCACTTCATTCTAGCATTATGTATACTATTAGATTTTCACCCAAAAAAACCATTGCAGGCATATTTTGTTTCATCTAAGCCAGTGTTTTTCAACCACTGTTCCGTGGCACACTAGTGTGCCACGAGATGTTGCCTGGTGTGCCGTGGGAAAAATTGAAAAATTCAAAAGATTTTTTTTTAAAAAAAAATGTCAAATTTTCGCCCGGACTGTGTCCACCCTATTTTCCATCCGTCCTGGGTGGAGATCAGATCGGATGGGATCGGATGAGAGCGGCGGGGCTCTGACATCTCCCTCTCCGCACACAGTGGTGGTGTGCCTCGTGATTTTTTTCATGAAACAAGTGTGCCTTGGGCCAAAAAAGGTTGAAAAACACTGATCTAAGCCATTGTGCTACTTCATGATCTTAAGGTCAAGGGAAGGAAAACTTTGCTCCCTAAGACTCTCTGCACAACTACAGCTGCTAGCCACAGTTGCCCTAGGACTGCAGAACCAAAGGAATGCATCAGTCAGGGCACCAAGGCAACTGTACCCCTGCCTCCAATGCCAAGAGCTTGCTTCTTTACCCACACCCTCAAATGGACTCCTGGAGTCCTGTGTCCAGTTGTGGGCACCACAATTTAAGAAGGATGTTGACAAGCTGGAAGGTGTGCAGAGGAGGGTGACCAAGATGATCAAGGGTCTGGAAACCAAGCCTTGTGAGAAATGGTTGAAGGAGCTGGGTATGTTTAGCCTGGAAAAGAGGAGACTTAGAGGAGATATGATAGCCGTCTTCAAATACCTAAAGGGCAGTCACATGGAAGATGAAGCAAGCTTGTTTTCTCCTGCTCTGGAGGGTAGGACTTGAACCAATGGCTTCAAGTTACAAGAAAGGAGATTCCAACTAAACTTCAGGAATAAATTTCTGATGGTAACAGCTGTTCAACAGTGGAACGGTCTCCCTCTGGAGGTGGTGGGCTCTCCTTCCTCCGAAGTTTTTAAGCAGAGGTTGGAAGGCCATCTGTCATGGATGCCTTAGTTGAGATTCCTGCACCGCAGGGGGTTGGACTACATGACCCCGGGGTCCCTTCCAATTCTACCATTCTCTGATTCTGTACCACAGTATTATCACAGGGTTGTTGTGAGGATAAAAATGGAGGGGGAAGTACGCTACCTTGAGCTCTTTGCAGCAAAGGTGGGATATAAATGTAATGATTGATAAATAAATAAGATGGGTGATCTCTGAAAAGTAAACATCTTGGCTGGTTGTCTCCTCTGCAACACATTTCTTTAGTGTGTATATTGTAGCCTTGCCTTCCACTTGGTTTCCAGTGAAGACAGATGACAAGTGGAGAAACACAACTGAATTTCAGTAAAAGACTGAACAAATATATTTTGCTTTCTAAAGCAAGCCTGCTTATTCTTGAGACAAGCCCCAGTGACTTCCATGAAATGAATTCCAAGTAACTCGGTAGCAAAGCCTAGCCCTAAAACCATGGAAGAGAATTATAATAAGCAAAGTCACCTGTTCATTATTTTGTTTGTTTCCAATAAAATGTGATCCTCGAACACAGAGGGCAGAAGTGAAACTCTGAAATATTTCCCCCTTGCACAGGTAACAATTGCTCATGGCATGTGCCACTTACTTGGCTATAAACACAGCACAGAAGCAGAGTGGCAGCAGGTGAGTGTTTTCCTTGTGATGAGCAATTTCACTGCATGCACCCTAATATCTGAGCAGCAAGAGACTCAGGGTTTAATTGTTTGGAACAAAGGTCAGCGGAGACTCTGTCTTTAGGATGGCTTTATTTACACACACACACACACACACACACACACACACACACAACGAGGATAGTATAGGACTCTTAGCATTGGCATTCCAACAGCTATTGCCTCCCCACTAAGTTTCCAAGGTGAAGACCTCAAAGCCAGTTTTCAATTCCGCACACAGCGGCAGTCAAGCTTCTGTGTCTCCTCTGCTTCCAGCTTCAGCCAAACTCACACAGAGCAGCCCCAACTAGTTTTCTTCTACTTCAAAAAAGATGCCACCTCCAGCCAGGTGAGAGTGTGTGGACAGCCTATCCCCTCTTGGAAAGCAGCGTTACCCAGCTGTCTCTATGGTAACACAGCTGACTCTTCGGTCATGTAGATGAGGGTGTTTAACAAGACCAGCAACTTGACAAACTGTTTTGACCAGTTCAGCAGGCTGCTTCCTGCAGAGGCCTCCATATAAAACCACAAGTTTCATTGGGATCCATAGGCATTATCCAAATCGATCCCCCATCCTATAAAAATATTAATACTTGATTCATCTGCAGATGCCCTAGCATATTAATTGGGTGAGAAAACCATAAATTTTATGTACTATGTGCCAGTGTAAGTGACAATTCATGAACGGAGTCTGTAGCGCAACAGATCAGGGCATCTGGCTGTTAACAATAGGTTGGTGGTTTGAGCCCAGCTGCGGTCAGGATTCCTGCACTGCAAGAAGTTGGACTAGATGACTAGATGCAGGAAGTTTGATTGAGGCTGATCTATAGTAATCTAGATCAAGGAGTAATAGTGCACTGTATTTTGTCTGGTCAGACTCACCTGAGCTGGTCCAGTTCTGGGGACCAAGTTCAAGAAGGACATGAAATAATGGAATGTGTTAGAGGAGGCAACCAAAATGTCAATGGCTGGAAAGGATCCTTATGAGGGAGTCTAAGGGGCTGGCATGTTAGCCTGGAAGAGAGGTAGGGTGATTTAAGCCAGCTATATAAAAGGATGTCACTAGAGGAGGGAGAAAGGTTGTTTTCTGCTGCTCCAGAGAAGCGGACACGAAGCAATGGATCCAAACTACAAGAAAGAAGATTCCACCTAAACATTAGGAAGAACTTCCTGACAGTAAGAGCTGTTCGACAGTGGAATTTGCTGCCAAGGAGTGTGGTGGAGTCTCCTTCTTTGGAGGTCTTTAAGCAGAGGCTTGACAACCATATGTCAGGAGTGCTCTGATGGTGTTTCCTGCTTGGCAGGGGGTTGGACTCGATGGCCCTTGTGGTCTCTTCCAATTCTATGATTCTATGACTGTCAGGATCCCTTCCAACTCTATAAATCTAATCTATGATTCAAATTTTGTAAGATGACCTTGTTGTGTTATTTGGAAGGAAATGTATGCAATCACCATTGCCTTACCTCTTTTTCAGATGTACGAAAAGGAAGCACAAATTCTTCTGGAGCTAAACAGATTGTCAGACACAAATTTGCAACCACTGACCAAACACCACTTCTAGGAGCCATATTTGTATGTTGGCTCAGAAATAAAAGAAATGATTCATTCTGTTTTAAAGAAAACTCCATTATTATCTGATGCTCTGCAGGCAACCTCCTGGCCAACCGTACTTTTCCTGGAATGCCTATAAAAGGATGCCATGATGTAACCCCCTTCTAAAGGCCTTCCTCACTATTCTGAGGAATTCTCAAATTGATATTTGTCTTGAATTAGATCATCCTTCTGGTATAACCTGAGAGCTTTTGGTGATGCTAAGCAACTAGCCCTGCAATGTTAAAGATTATGGGATATTTATATAAATAAATATTTAAATATTAACATCCTGTACATATACATTCTGAAGTGAACGTAACACGCGACGGCCGTGTCGCGTTTTGCCGCTTCCGTGCATGCGCGTGACGTCGTTTTGACCGTCTGCCCATGCGCAAGCAGCAATACCCGGAAGTAACACATTCCGTTACTTCCAGGTGGCCGCGGAGCGCAACCTGAAAATGCTTAACCTGAAGAGTATTCATCCCAAGGTATGACTGCATGTGACTCACCATTAGTGCCCTCTCAAAAAGCAAATCAATCTTTCCCCCTTCCACCTCAAGGATTTCTGCAGATGTCACAACTGCGGGAAATCTGAATGTTCTTTCCTGAAAGTCAGAACGGAAAATGAATGTGGTTCTTGCTCTTGCTAAATATCTTTTAACCTATTGCTACCACCAGGATGGGTCGTAACTTTAAATAAATGATTTTCAGAGCAGAGCAGACCTGAAGTATTTGTGTGCGGAAGCTAATTCTTAAAATACACTTCTATCCCAAGGCATGCTTTCTCCCGGAGCGGAGCTGCCCAGCGTATTAGGCGACTGGGCTTATAAGAATAAACCCCCAAATTGCAGCTGCCAATATGCCCAGTCGCCTAATACGCCGGACTCTACGGTAGCAGATAAAAACAGAACACTTAAAAGTCTGTTGGGATGAACATGCGCCCTCATGTATTTCGGAGTCTTTCCATCTTTGCCACAAGAACAGTGCAGACAAGCCACCTTGCTCAGTCATGGATTTTAAAAAGTCAACAATTACACTTGGTAGTTCTAAATAAATAGCTGGATTTAATGTTCATCTTGTTCTGAGGCATTTCCAGAACATGCATTCTGCTTGGTGTTAGCAGGTCCAGACAAAAGTCAAGGAAGCTGCCTGGCCAAAATACTCTGCACTCCCTGTTCCTACGGCCATGGGATGCTTCCTCTCTGCCGCCACTCGGGACAAGCGCTGGCTCACCCTCCACCCTGAGCTCAGTGGCGGCAGCACTGGCTGGGGAAATAGGGACATTCCGGGATCAAATCAGAAGCTGGGATGGCTTTTGTAATTCCGGACTGTCCCTGGGAAATCAGGACGCTTAGAGGGTTATACTACTGCAACTGTCCCAAGAGCATAAACTGGAAGCTCAGTTGGTCAGAGTGTCGCGCTGCTAAGGTGGCAGGTTTGATCCCTGCATGGGAAAGCATTGCAGGGGGTGGACCAGATGATCCTCAGGATCCCTTCCAACTCTATGATGCTGAGTTTGTGTTTTGCACAGCTGTGGACATGCACCATCAGTTCTTATTTCCCTCTCAAAGGAAACAGTGGGTTGAGTTGGAATGAAATCACTCCACTCCTGACGGGGAAAGAGAAGGCAGCTGGCCAGCCTGGTTGAGCTGGGAGATCACTACAGGGAAAGGCAGGAAAGGGTGACCAGTTTAGCGCAGCAGAAGAGCCCTCGGGATCTCCTCCTGCTAATCCCCTCTCGTCCTTCCCAAATGCAATCACACTGTGTTCAGCTAGCAAATGCTAAGCAAGCTCTTCTGCAGATTAAACAGCCTGTTGAAGGCGAAAGAGGAAAATGAATGAGACATGCTACTTTAATGTGACTGCGGCCTGCTTTCTCTTCATTTGTGCAAGGAGATACAAAGAAGCATATTGCTGAAGTTCAAAGGTGGGTCACCATTGCCTCTAAAAGCTGGCCTGCACGTGTTGTCGCCCACTAGCCATGTTTAGTGAGCCAAAAGAGGATCAATCAACTTCATTGTTTTGCATCCTGTTTGGGAATGAAGGAGCTCCTGGTGGGCCACGAGGCAGAACTGATGGATTCCAGTCCATGTGGTGCATTGTAATTGGCACAGGCTTGCCTGGAAGGGAACCTTTGCATTTCCCAGGCACACCCACTCCTCTGCAATAAATGTGACCAACAGGCTGTTAGAGTGTGAAACTGCCCCCTGAGAGATTGTCAAGCTTGGTCCTTTGGCAGCAGAGACACCACTGCTGATGTACAGTGGAAGCTCGGTTGTCAAACTTTGTGGCGTTTGCCCGTTCATTTAGAGCCTGTATGTACAGGGGGGGAAAGAAAGGGTTAAAAATGTAGACCAATAGGAAAGCTGGAGGCGGAGCCTACATGTGTATAAAAGGGCTTAGCCTGAGGTTTGCTAGAGTTATTGGTGGGCAGTTGGTTGGTTTTAGTGGCTTGGCTGGTTGGGAAAGGCAGCTGGAGAAGCAGTTGGCAGGCAGTTGGGAATAGAGAGACAGTTAGGGCAGTGGGTTCTTGAGTGAGGGGAGGGAGAAGAGATAGAGACAGGATAAAATAAGACTAAGAAAGTAAAGAGTAACAACGTTTGGAATGCCGTAAAAGTTTGTGTCTGAAATAAAATACACTCATCTTTATTAACTTGAGAACCTGACTGAGACTGAAGTGATTTTACCATGGAGGACCTGGTTGGTGTACGGGTCAATAGTCCGTGAGACGACCGGGGGCTCCGTATGAACGCCACAAAATTGACGGCAGATGCGGGATAAATAAATACGCCCGTGGTGGAATAAAAGAATACGGCCGTGGTGGGATAGATTTATACGCTCATGAAGGGGAAGTTGGATCTGGGAGTGAGGTTATTTTGGCAGACGTATCAGACTTGTGGTTGGAGGCAGTGTCTGTGCAGGGCCAGTGTGAAGACCCAGTGCAAGCCTTCAAGGCCAAAGTCCAAAAGAAAACCTAGCCAGAAAGAATAACTTAGGGGGGGGATCTCTCAACTAACTCTATTTTGCTGTCGGACCACAAGTGCTCACTATACCGCCCAAAAAGTCAAGAAACCCTGTGAGGGAACCAACCTATGAAAGCTCCGAGGGAGAGGAAAATGGGAATCCTCAGGGAGAAGGGCAGAAATAGAGGAGATATCAGAAATTCCTTCCGAGGCAGTAGAGCCTAGACTCTCTTTAGAATTTGAAAAATGGAAGTTGGAACAGGAATACAAATTTAAATTAGAGAGAGAAAAAAATAAGGCTGAATAAGAAAGAGATAAAGCTGAACAAGAAAGGGAGCAGTACCGTCTGAGGGGAAAAGAGATGCAAGTTCAGTTGGAAATGCAGAAAATGGAATTGGCATCTGTGGGAAAACCAAAATAAAAATAATAGCACAAATGATCAAAGCCAGGTTAAGATAGACCTCAAGCATTTTCCTAAATTCAAAGAGAAGGATAATCCGGAGGCTTTTATCGTCTCATTTGAAAGAGCATGCAAAGATTTCCAAGTAAAAGATGAGGGAAAAAATGATAATATTAAGGGCTAGAATTAGTGGAACCTTAGCTGAAATATATGTGCAAATGCCAGAAGACCAGTCTAGAAATTTTGACGTTTAAACAATTAATTTACACCCGATTTAGAACAACCTCAGAACAGTTAAGAAAGAAGTTCCAGAGTGTGACAAAAGTGGGGGAAGAAACGTTTGCTCAACTTGGAGCCAAAATTTCAAATTCCCTCACAAAGTGGCTAGAGCAGGAGGGTGCCAATTCATTTCAGAAGATCAGGGAGATTATGGCGCTTGAACAGTTTTATACAACCATCAACGAGAAATTGAAATATCTGGTAAAAGAACGACATCCCAAAACTATACAGGAGACAGCCACTTTAGCTGACCAAATTAATGAAATTAGAGACCATGGATTTGATGGTCCGAAATTTGGCGGGAAAGTGTGGGAGTACCTCAAAAACAAATTTCAATATGCCAAGGAAAGCCCTACCTCAGTGACAAATAAGGGAAATATGCCACGAACTAAAAGTCCAACTGACAAGGCCCTGGCTAACATTGGTCCCACTGAGGGAAAAGGAAATAAAACTAATTATACTGGGTACAGGGAAATAAAGTGCTGGACGTGTGGTAAATTAGGCCACACGAGTTTGGACTGCGGGGATGGAAAGGGTAAAACTGAATTCTGGTTCTCAAAAACAGACTTATTGTATCCACTCAGTGGAGCACAAGAGGCTAGGCAGGTTGCCAGGGAAACCGAGGTTTTAGCTAGGCCTGAGCCTGAGGAAAGTTTTGAGGCACGTGTGGTACAATGTTAGTTGATTAAACAGGATAGTTTCCTCTTGAGAAATGCTGGGGAAAACATCTGGGTTGATGATGAAAAGTATCTTGGGTTAAGAGACACCGGCTCACAGATTACAATCGTCCATCCGGACATAATTTCCACCACTAAATTAATACCTGAGAAAACAATAAAATTAAAAGGAATTGCCAAAGAACCAGTGATCCTAAAAGTAGCTGAAGTGGATATTAACTTCTGTGATAGGTCTGGGAAGTGGCAGGCAGCCATTTCTGAGGAAGTTCCAGCAGCAGTTCTTATCGGCTGGGATCTCCTAGAGCATGTTAAGAGTGCATTTGTAGTTACTCGGTCAAAGGGGGGCCAAGAATCACCCACTACTGAGGAAACTGAAACAGTTGCCAGTGGAGGCATGGCTGGGAAACCTCTCTTGGAAGGTTTGGGCAGAGCAGAAACTGAAGCTGTTATAGTTCCTTTTAAAAACACCAATAAGGCTAGTTTCGCTCAGAAGCAAAAAGGGGATGTTGGGTTAAGCAGTTGTTCAGAGGCGGCTAAGTCTGCCGCCCCTTTAACCCCAAATGCCCAGAGAGATTCTGTGAAGAAAACGGGCTGTTGTATCGGGAACTCCTTGCCACACCGTATAGAGGGGGAGGAGGAATCCGTAAACTGGTAATCCCTCACACCTATAGAGAAAAGATTTTGCAACAAGCCCATAA